CGAAAAATTTGATTTTCCAACTAAACCAGAATTTTGGGTTTCTTGGATCGTCCCGAGATCACCCGGGTGGCTATTTAAAGAGACTTGATTGTATTACAATTTACTAAACTCTTTTGCAGTTACGAATTTCATTCTAAAACCGCTTGAAAAGAGCTCGTGGTACCAGTCTATCAGTGACTTTAACAAGTGCTGACATACTGAATTTATACCAGTCCACCTAAAAATCGGCCACAGATATCCAGAAGGAAATGGACTTCACTGAAAAATAGATGTCGTGGATAAATGTGGATTATCCTCTTTGAGAATTCACTAACTTATGTCCATTTTTTATGTACAAGGACTATTTTGATCAAAAACAACCAGTATAACTTAATTGTTCACAAATTCAGTTGTCTCTAACTACGCTGACGATATCACAGGGCAGGTATAATTTCTTGATTCTGGGAATCCACGACGTCTTAACAGCACCCTGTTTCATTTTCAGCACCGTTTTTGCTTGCGTGAGGTCTTAGTCATCTGAAACCAGCAAACGAAATGTGTTAATTTAAGAAACACCCATCTATACAATAGTTAGCTTAGATTCGAGAAAAATGAATCGTAAATCCAGTTTTTGCCTGACTCTGGAGAATCAAACTGAACCTCGGGAGCTTGGGAACGAGGGATTTGAGGCAAATCCCTCCCCAGGCCTTCCCCAGGCCTAAAAAATTCGAAGAATGAGGCGGTTGTCTGGCAGAAAGTGTTGATTGTGTGTGTAGGAATGTCTTTTCCCAGAGGCCGTCGGCTTTTCTCTTTACAACTCGTGGTCGAAGAATCTAAAAGGCCCTTGGAAGAAGAACGAGTTCTCCTGTTTTGCTCGGTCAGAAAGCCGGGTGTTTCTGCCTTGGCGTTGAGGAACCCTTTTGGTTGGCTATTGTTTTGTGATGTGGGTATTTTTCAGTTTCTTTTGTATTACAAACGTCATTTTGTGATTGCACCCAACCGCAAAATCAAGAAACTACCAGAGAACCATTATTTTCAAATTCCAATAAGATCAGCGATTCGAGGGATATTTTGCCTATACTAATTTGGTATTTATCTACAAACCCATATGTTAATAAATAAAGTCGATTTATTTACCTATTTATTTGCCTTGAATCATATGACGTAGGGTCTATAATCACGATTTTGACTTGTAATTATTTTAACTTTACAAGGTTTGTTTAGATATTCCGGATGCGCTTTCACTTTCTGTGATATGCAAATTAGCTGGGAAAAAGGTATCTAATGCGCATGTGCATCAGCTGACTGTGTCCCTTTCAAAAGGTTATCTTACCTCCGCAAAATCTTTCCCTTGCAGCAACTACAATTCTCCTCAGTCTTGAAAACGATCTTGCAGTAACCACGTCTCTTGAACTAGAAGCCATAGATAAAGCCTCCTTTATGTAAAAATTGTTACCAACTGCCACTACCATGATATGAATGCCTCTTTTCTTCAATTCCGCGGCCTCTAGTGCCGTTAGCTTTTGATTTGAGGAGATACCATCCGTCATCACCATAAGGAACTTGGGAACCCCGGGGCGGGACATCCCTGCGGGTTTCTCAAGGAACATTTTATTTCTCGCCAGTCTCAAGGCCCGGTCCGTTCTTGTTCCGCCTTTGACCCATTTCATTCTATCAATGGCAGCGTTGACGTCAGTATGGGTAAAGTAATCTTCGAATCCAAATATGGTATTGGCTCTGGTTGAAAAGCGCGTGAGAGCCACGTGAATGTCTGTCTGGGAGATTTTAAATTTCTGTAGCAAGAATTTGATGAATTCTTTGGATTTTCGGAAACCAGACTGCCCAACACTACCAGATGAATCAACGATAAAACCGATGTCTGCACGTTGGTTGCAAACTGAAGAAATTAAAAATAAAACACGCCATCGTGTCAACTCAGCCGAAGACTATTCGTCACCCAATGCCCAAATTAATTAATATACTACATGGTTCTTAGTCGTAATCGTTCCCTTGTTTTTCGTGATGAAAAGATTTTCTTATCATCGCATATTTTTAACAACGCAGGTGGGGGCGGGGGGTACAACTATTGTTGGTTTTCACATGACGTCACTAAAATTTGAACTACAAAACTATCAATCCTACAGAGATTTTTTTTCATAATATACTAGAGCAGCTGAAAAATAATATTCATACGAATGTAAAAAGTATCACTTTTATGTTTATGAGTTCCTCGAGGGATAAGTTCATGCTTTTGTAGCAAAACTCGGTGAGAGATGTTTCTGTTGTTTTCCGGTGACCATGTTGGTACCCATCTGGATGGGCACCAACATGGCGTCCATACAAACCTCTATTAGTAACATTCCTTCAGATATCTCGTATATGAAGTATTCCTCTGACGTGAATCTTGGCGAGGGTCTTTGCATATTTTCTTCCTTTCTACCTCATTTCTGTTTTGTGGAACGGTTTAGACTTTTATGTTGATCTATTTTGAATGGAATGACACTGAAAACCAGCAATAATACAGAAATGAACTTACCTCTGATTTGACATATAAACGGCAGGTGATGCAAACAATATTCATCTTTCCATTTTGCCCAGTGAGGATAATCTGCAGTAATAACAGCACAGTCTTCCTTTCTACCCCTCTGTTGCCCGGACGGCTCCCCCCTCATCCATCGTTGGTACGTCAAGGGCGTGCCATCGGACCAAGAAAAATGGCTCTCGTTGTAAAGATCTGAGGCCCCTATCCACAGTTTGGAGAAACCAAAATGATTCCTGAGCATGCGCAAGTTCTTTTCAAGGAATTTGCTTTCTCTTGCGTTGCGCACGCTGGCCAGCTGAGCGCCCTCTGCTTCCCGACAGTAAATTTCTGCTTCCGGCCACGTGAGCATTTCGTACTGAAGGAAAAGGAACTTATATATGTAGCGCCCGCTGTCAAACTCTGGAAAAAAATTGTGATGAGAACAAGAAATGAGCGCATCATTACTACTTCTTCCATTTTTTTTTTTGAGAAATTGTTGGTTATCCCATAGAGTTAATTTGGGCAGCATGTTCCCTTTATCCCACGCAACGTCGTAATAGCCAATAGAGCGTTTTCACACGACGTCACACCCACCATATTGGTGTCCAAAAACCTAAAACAATGAAACTGCGGCCATATTGGTTTTCCAAACCAATCCTGTGGGAGTTGAACCTTCTTTTGTTTTAACATATTCTTTTTTTCCTGAATACTTTTGCACTACTGCTGGCCACGTGAGTGATAAGGCTGTTTAGGAAAAGAGACACCGCTCCAGCCTCTTATGTGGAACGCAAGCCTAGTGTATAAATGAAGAAAATGTGAAGAAGCTGGAGACTTTTTGGATGGAGTTGTCGATGGAGTAGGCTCCCAACCCCTGAAGACGCAGAGGATACAGAATTTAGACTCTGATACGCCAACAGAGACATTCTACACATAACAAAAAACAACAGTCTCAGAAATGGGACCCTTGGATAAATATCGTTAAACTATATAAATGTCTCTATTGAGCAGGCAAAGAGGTCAACGGAAGATAAGAGTGGTTTTGCTGCATTGGCTGACCGTGTAGTCGTCAATACAACTCCATGGTAACATGATCACTGACTTGGTACAGTACTGTATTCCCCAAAACATTCCCATAGTGCAATTCGACCCAAACCGATTCTGTCTCACTCTCAAACTCAGACTTACCGTAACCAAATCTCTTGTAATCCACAAGTCTTCTCGGGACACCTGTGAAGAGAAAAAAGAGAGAAAAAAGAGACCGTCAACTTGTACTTCTCGATGCTTCTCTTACTAAGTAAGGAAAAATCAAGAAAGACCCTATTCTAATCATAACCAACTTTTTTTTACTCTCCGAAAACAATTAACAGTCGTATCTATTCGCTTCCTCTCAGCTAACCTTTAATTTTGCAAATGTAGCCTTTGGTTTCATAACAGTCAGCTTCTATCCAGCTAGCTATATCTCCAGTGGATTTCAGCACAATGCACATATCGTAATCATGATCAGCCGCATCAAGTCCACGTTCCCGGAATGCAGCGCCGTACCTACGTAAAGGGAATCAGAAAAATCAGTGTTAAACCAATAAAAGACACTCGCATTGAACGGCTAGGATGTTTATCAATTTCTCGCAAGATCTTCGAAGAAGTTGATTCTTTATGTCATTATCTTTAATCAGTGTCAAACCAATAAAAGACAGGCGCATTGAACGGCTAGGATGTTTATCAATTTCTCGCAAGATCTTCAAAGAAGGTGATTCTTTATATCATTATCTTTAATCGGTTTATTACCAGTAGTATAGGCTAATTTTGGCAATGGGTGGTCAGCTAGCTAGGCAGTAGGTGATGATAGATAGGTTTTGGTTTTAAAGACAGAGCCATAACAGCAGTAGATGGTAGACTGTTCCACACAGAAATACATCGGCCAAAACAGAGTACTTGTAGGCATCAACAAAAGCAAAGATTCAGAGGGGTTTGAATAAATTAATATCCTTTCCCTTACTACCCCATCCTCGCTTCCCGTGAGCTTGCTAGTAGGAAACGTAGTTTATGGTTTTCTTGTAAGTTGTTCATATTCAGACCCTTAGGACCAATCACAATTCGCTGAAACAACAGAACAAACCAATCAGAACTCGAAGAAAATGAGAGTAGCTGACGCCTCGCTAAGCGCGGGAAAACCTGTGTGAATAGGCTGGTTTTTGGTTTTCTCTTTACAACTATACTGACTGATCTCTTACTCCTTATTGGCCGAGAAATTGACACGAGATCAGATTCAGCCAATCACAAGCCGTGGTACTGATGCGAAACCAAGCAATCACAAAATCATTTCGACATTGGCACCTCTCCAAAGAGGCCATGGCAACAACTGGTTACCGGTCGTTTCGGAACAAGTTAATTCGGTCAAGTTGTAAATAGTTTCACGCCCTTAGCTTAAAGGATGAAGAATATTCACCTAAAATGTTTCCTTTTTCACGCGCAAACTAAGTGAACGAAATTTGTGTGCAGTTTCACTTCTTGAGTTCATATCGAAACGACCGGTTTTCCAACAACTACTTACTCAGTGAATTTTTGTCCATCAGCCCATTTGTAAGCCTTTCCAAAGAGCTCCCGCTCTTCCTTAGCTCCAATCCAGAGTAGTTCAGGTTCATTTGGCGAGCTAGTCAGATGCTGAATCTTCTCGTTCAAAAACGAATTCTCATCCTCGTGATCGTTCGTTATGGTCACCAAGTGCCCGCCTTCGTGGCCTCGGCATATTTCTTCAGCCTCGTACCATGTTCGTCTGTCATCGCTGGCCAGTACTATCTTGTAAGAGTATTCACCGTTTTCGAAAACTGCGATAAAAGAGTTACCAGTGCCTTAGTTTGTTGAAAGGGTTCTTCAACAAAAGAAGTAAATAAATGAATAACTGTTTTAGTTCAAGATGAGAGTAAATTTAGTTAGCTTGGTTATTCGATTTCCGTGGATAAAAAGCAAGAAAGAAATTTTAAGAACCGTGGAGGAGATTTTCGGTCAGTCTGCTACAATCGGCCCGACGCATCTTTCTTTGTAACTGTCACATTCCGGCTTCCCAGAAAACAAGCTGGAAAACGTTATGATGTTTACTTTTGTGGAAGAGATATTCTTAACCTGACTTAACTAACTATGCAACATCTGGATGCACAAAGAGACTGTTGATCAGTTAGACAAGTAAATTGGATGGTTATGGCTGTCTGGATTGCTTTATGAGAAAAAATTCAGCCGGTTGAAGAGGTTTAATTTGTTAATGCCCGAGGGCGAAGTCTACACAAGCTTTGAATTTCATAGCTACCTTTATTACGTAATGGGAGAATAACTTTTCGTTTTCATACCGAGTAGATATAAACACTCTTTTTATCGTCAATCAGTACGCTCGGACCGAAGGGGTCAAAACCTTGAACACTGTCATTTAAAAGTAGGATTAAGTTCGGAGTCTTCTCACGATCATTCCTCCCTAGACTTAAGGCATTGTTTTACAATACATCATCATCTAGAACCGGTTGTGCGTACGCTGCACGTTGTCAATGACATTCCCCGAAGGTGGTATATTTTGAATTTACAGACAAGTTATACAAATCGACCGTTTTGGAGGAGTCAAAAGGTACACACTCGTGACAAATACCTATGAAAAAACTTATACTTTTTAAAAAGAACACCATGGTCTATTACATTTCAGGATAAACTAGTTTAAGTTAAAATGTAACCCACACCTTGAAATCCGAACCGACTGAATTCAGGAAATTACAAAAGTGCTGAATGCCTCCAT